TTATATCATAACTGTTAAAATTTGTCTTACAATAGTTGTGATATCCGATATAAATATAAAATTAGATTTTTAACAATTTTTAACTTTTTTGTACATTTTAACTATAAAATACTTCACAATCCATATGAAATGATCTCTATAAATTAAAAAGAGATTCAATTTCATTTCTAAATTAAAAGATATGACACATTTATATACAGCTATTGTTAAAATTATATCTTTTCATAAGTTAAAGTTAGCTGTCCTGGCATAGAACTACATAAGTACCTGATGTTCATGAACGTAAAATTACATCATTTTGTAAAGTAATTTGAAAGTATAAAATAACAATAATTTGTATTTTAGAACAAATTTTTATATTTATAATATAAATATAATATGATATAAATCTGCAATAGTAACTTTAGTTCACTCCTTTTTAAGCAGCTTTTAATTATAGGGAATAAAGAAATTATGAATTGTGAAACTGGCTATATCTCTAGTATTATATCTGGTTATAGGGCTTCGAAGAAGGCATAGTGAAATTGAAAATGCAAGGTTCCTGCACAAGCTGTCCAAGTTCCGTGATCACTTTAAAAAATGGAGTTCAAAATATGATGCAATTTTATATTCCAGAAGTGCTTGGAGTAGTGCAAGTGGAGGATGAAACTGATCAAATCGCAAAAAAAGAATTTGAGAAGTTTGAAGAAAAAATTAAGAACTCTAAACCTAGTGAAAAGTAGACTTTTAATTATTGTTTTGTAAGAGCATTGTATATGTATAAATAAATTAAACACTTGTTCCTTTTTTTTCTGCTTTTATTTTATTCCAGTCTAAAGTCTTTAACGGCTAGATACAGAAACTTGCCAAACACGGATAGTATTGTCTGAGTAGCCGGCAAAAAGGGTTTGTCCATCAGTAGACCACGCTAAAGATAGACAATGAGGTGGCTCTGCTTTACTCGTTGCAGACACTACCTCTGGTTTTAATTCTTCAACCATTTCTTTGGTTTCAAGATCCCATATCTTGATCCAAGGTCCAAATGCAGCGCACAGCCAGTAACGATTAGGGCTGAAGCACAAAGCTGTGATAATGTCGTTATGATCTAAGGTGTGGAGATGTTTTCCGTCATTCAGATCCCATAACATAGCCTTACAGTCCTGCAAATAAAAGAACAATTTTTAACTGATATCTAAAAAGATTCTTATATAACTAGAAGTTTAAACATTTTGCAAGAATATGCATCATACTATGATGACATTACTTATATTTTTCTAATATATACCTTGCCGCCTGAAGCACAAAGCGATCCATCAGGGGAGACAGTAACTGTATTAAGATATCCAGTGTGTCCACTGTGATTGATCTTCAGTCTACAATTTGTTAAGTTCCACACCTGCAAATTATTATACAACTAGTGAAAAACAAAAATAATCAACACTTTATTAAATAGTTTACAACTTCGAAAATCAGTCCCATATCCGCTTACACTCACAAATATCATGTTCAATAAAAGTATATACATCATGTTATTAGGATTAAAATAAATATTAGTATTTTATATAGCTTTAACATACCTTGACCAATTTGTCCCAGCCTGCAGAAACAATGATGGGATTGGAATGATTTGGAGAGAAACGTACACAGCTAACCCAGTCCGTATGTCCATCATCTTGAATAGTATACTTGCACTCAGCCAAGGTATTCCACAGTTTAATTGTCTTGTCTCGAGAACCAGAAACAATTTGACGATTGTCCACGGAGAAGGCGACGCTTAAAACATCCTGTTAACACAATTATTTAATTTATACAATTGATTACTTGCAGGCAACATAAATTTGTGTATCAAATGTGGTCAGTACTTACAATACTATATACTTAATTGCCCACCTCTTCTATTTATTAAATATAAAAAAATATATAAAAAAAAGCTTCAGTATATTTCCCAGAGACTCACGTAGTTACATCTTCTGCCAATGGCATTCAATAAAAAAAAAAAATTGAAAAAAAAAGCTTCCATGTATCTCGTGAAGAGCGACGACCATAGATCAGAAGGAAAATTTCACACCTTGGTATGGTCCTCGAATCGTCGTGTCGTACGACCTGCGGCCAAGTCCCAAAGTCGAAGAGTTTTGTCCCATGAACCAGATAGAGCATAATTACCATCTGACGATAACACTACATCACTAATAAAGTGAGAGTGACCATACAAACGCTTCTGAGGAATACCATAATTGGCTTCGTCACGTGTCAGCTTCCATACGATTAAAGTTTTATCTACAAACAAAATGCATAAATTTTTACACATATTTTGCGTATGTTAAATTACCTGCTCCCTTAAAATTAACAAAATATAAATGGATAAAATACTTTGAGAAGCTGTACGAATGTAGATGAACATATATATATATATATAATAGAAATGCAAATAAATAGTAGTAATAATGCTAGACAACGTGTAAACCGCTACGTGGCTACTTACCACGTGAAGAAGACAGTATCATATCCGGATATTTTGGATTTGTCGCGATTTGGGTAACCCATCCATTGTGTCCCCGAAGTGTCCCTCTTAATTGAAGAGTTTCAGTCATTTTTTGATTATTTTAAGATATCTTACGTTATGGATTGAAATAGATTCCGATCCACGACCCACATTCAACAAAGCGTCGAACGAAAAGAACGACAACCCTCCTCTTTTCGAATGTGTATATTGTCACAATTTATATATTTTGTAGATATGCAACTCACGTGCTTAAAATGTAAACCTAAAGCTATATTCTAAGTATGCCACTCAAGGTCTAAAGGAGCGTTCAGACGATAAATATTATTGTCAATTTAAGGTTTTCAACATTATCATACGTAAGAGACTCTTTAGACGATTAATGTTATTGTCAATATTTAAGGTTTTCAATATTGTATTGAAAATATATATTGATCGTCTGAACGCTCCTTTATTGGTCTATTCAGAAATACGATACTGACACTCGCTCGAGTTTCTCGCTCAACCAATCGATGCAGCTGCAGTAATCAAATTTTTTTAATGTTCACTACCTCGTCTTGTTAAGCAGACTATAAACGTTTAAATGATCGTGCTACCGTGATATGTATTGATTTTGATATTGAGGTTATGTTCTTTGATGTGCGAGAAAATTAGGAATAAAGAAATGGTCATACATTTAATAAATATTATTGTTGTATAAAGGTATATGAAAGTTGAAACAACGTAATGAAGCTTTCCGAAATAATGGCCAGTAAACAAGGAAGAGATTTAGCACTGTCAATGTTGCGAACATTACCTAGACTAGCTTTAAATAACATTCGAAATAATCCTGGTGCAAATAAACCTGTTAGTATTATTCTAAAACTATATTGTATGTTTATATTTCAATATGCTTGTAATTAAGCTTGATATGAATGTTTGAATAAAAAATATATTATTTTTGTCAATATTTTCAAATTTTTATCTTTCATTTTTATGTCTTATATTTTAGTTTAAATAATATTGTTTGGATCAATATAATGTATATGTGACATGATAATTTTTTATAAATATATAAAAATTTCATTTGAGAATTATTTTAAAAAAATGTGTATTTCTAACAGTCAAAACGTGGTCGAGGTCAACATGGTGGAAATAAGCACGGAGCAGGTAATAAGGGATCAGGTCAAAGACAGAATTTTATGCGAACTGGATATGAAACTGGAAATAACCCATTTTATCTTAGATTTAGTCGTGAACCATATTATAAAGGACACCAGTGAGTTGTTTAATTTCTATATAAATTTTATATATGGAATGTAACAATATTAATGTATATATTAGAAAACTATATTTTAATTATAACATATACTTGAATTTTTTATTTAAAATTTTGAAACTTTTATATTAGTTTAAAAATAAGTTGAAAATTGGCATTGTGTATCAAGTATTGTGTATCATATAATATCATTTTGCTTTATATATGTTTATAGTTTAAGAAGAGAGTATCCTCCTTTATCTCTGCAACAATTGCAACTATATATTGATACAAACAGAGTAGATTCATCTAAACCTATTGATCTTGTATCTATAATCAACACAGGACTATATGATCTTAAAGTAGAATGGAAACATGCAGGTGTTCATCTTACAGATGAGGTATTTAAATTAATATTTTTATATAGGAACATTAAATATTATGTTTTTCCGAAACAGAAATTGCTTAAAATCATGTCTTAGGGAGCCGATAACTTCAAAGCAAAAGTCAATATAGAAGTCCAATGGGCCAGTGAACCAGTAATTGCAGCAATTGAAAGAAATGGTGGTACTATTACTACTGCGTATTATGATACTCGCTGTTTACATGCAATAAAGGATGTTGATAAATTTTTTACTACTGGTAAATTTTTAAAGCATATTAGAATTAAAAGCTTGATAATATTATATTTAAAACATGCTTACTATTTAGGAGAACCAATACCACGCAGACTATTACCTCCGACAGATTGTTTAGAATATTATATGAGTGCAGAAACGAGAGGATATTTAGCAAATCCTGAAGAAATTTCTCGTGAACGTTTGGTTTTATCTCAGAAATATGGTTACGAGCTACCAAAAATTGAAGATGATCCTAATTACAAAATGCTTGTGCAGCGTAAAGATCCTAGACAATTATTTTATGGTCTTGAACCTGGTTGGGTTGTGAGTCTTAAAGATAAAGCAATTCTGAAACCTAAAGCTGATTATCTTAAGGAATTCTATACAAGTTGAATTATTTCTTTCTAGAACATATTTAATAAATAAGTAAATAAATAACATGTAAAAAAGAAACTGTGTGAAACTAAACAAATTGATGCCTTTATTGTAGAATAAAAGAATCAAATTTTAATCTGTCGTAGATAAATTAATTACACATACACACTTTTCTGCAGGCTTGAATAAATTATAATATATTAAAATAATCTTAAATAAAAGATTTTTTTAATTAAAACAAATACAAAGTTGTTTTGATAGATTTTGTTTTGTATTTTTCATACATAATTTGCCTTCTTAATTTATTTTTTTAATAGTATTTCATAATTATAGATAATAAATATTACTAGAAAACATAACCTAAATATACAGCACTTTTAATACGAATAAGAAAAAGTAAGTAAAAACCAATGATCCCGTTATCAAGCAATGGAGTATTATCTGTGCAGTGAAGTGGAATGGAATCAGTAATTTTCCATGGCTGTGTTTCGATCTACTTCTCCCAATATAATATTTGGGTACATCCTGCATTAACAATTCAAAAATGGCATTCCGCGTTGAGTCCGAGAAAGATTATGCATTTTTACTAAAAAGTTTAATTGCCGGCGGTGAGTTAAACATTTCTTCCAATAAAACGTCGCTAAATAATAATAACGCATTTTCATTTAATTATTATTCGTTTAGAGAGAAATATTATGTGAATCATTTATTATCAACCATAGTAGAACAATTTTATATTTATGACAATATTTGTGTCATTATTATTATTAAGGAAAGATAGTAATCTGTTTCAAAGAATTTGCAGTATTATTACATAAATTGCTTGATAATAAATAAAGATTGTTTTATTAGTAATAAACATTTTACAGGGGTAGCTGGAATGTGTTCAAAAACAACAGTAGCTCCACTAGATAGGATAAAAATATTATTGCAAGCACATAATAAGCATTATAAACACTTAGGTAAAGAATGCAACTTTGTAAAGAAAAAATATTTAGAAACAATACAATCGAAGTATTAACTTCTTCTACTACATAGGTGTCTTTTCCGGATTGAAAGAAATAATTCAACGTGAACAATTTATTGCTCTTTACAAAGGAAATTATGCACAAATGATTAGAATATTTCCATATGCAGCAACACAATTTACTACATTTGAATTATATAAAAAGGTAATTATTAGTAAATGCGACCTTTTGTATTGAAACAATTAAAAAAATAATGTCAATTTTTTCTGTGTAAAGTGGTTCCACAGAGCGAAGTAACCGTTATTAATATAAAAACATGCTCATAATTTAAAGGTGAGCTTTTACAATTTAGATTCATTTTTGGACTTATGTATGCAAGTGAATATATTGCATATATACACATATAAATACACATATAAATACACATATGTAAAATATTTAATAATTTACCTATCTTCTAAAAATGTTTAATAATTTACCTATACAAATATAAGATAGACATACAGCTTTAATGAGGGGAAATAAATACAACATTCTTGTTAAAAAAATTAAGTATATATGATTGAAATTATAAGTAAATTAAGCTAGTTTTTTATTTCTACCAGTATTTAGGTGACTTATTTGGAACGCATACTCATATAGATAAGTTTTTGGCTGGATCTGCTGCTGGTGTTACCGCAGTTACATTAACATATCCACTTGACGTGATTAGAGCCAGGCTTGCTTTTCAAGTTGCCGGAGAACATATTTATGTAGGGATTGTACATGCGGGTATCACAATTTTTAAAAAAGTGAGTTCATATTTCATTAAATGTTATTAAAAGACTTTAAGTTTTGAGATTGAAAGATAATATTACTGTCATAATATATATTAACACATTTGCATAAAAAGATGTGACTAATCTACATTTGAAATTACTTATTCTGATCTCATGTAATTAAGCTTTTATTGAAATGCACAAAAACATATAAGGAACAGCTGCATTATAAATATATATGTAATTTATATGAATAGGAAGTAGCAGCAAGAAAGTTAGCATATCAATTAAGATATAGAGTGTAAAGTTTAGAGCTTTTGAATTGTGAATTGGTTCATATATTATTACCACATATTCGTTTGAAAAGAACATTTTTTAAATAATAACTCCAAAAACAAAAGAAAGTAAATTTACATAAAATACTATTTTTTTAATGATTGATTTCTTATTAATAACAATATTATATCATTGAATCTTTCAGGAAGGTGGTATTCGAGCATTGTACAGAGGGTTTTGGCCAACTATTATTGGCATGATTCCATATGCAGGATTTTCATTTTATTCATTTGAAAAACTTAAATATTTATGCATGAAACATGCACCAAATTATTTTTGTGAAAAATATGACAGAAATACTGGTATGACTAATTTAAAATTTGTATAGATTTATTGAAATAGAAATTTTACTTCCAATAATAATATATAAATTAATATTTTTCGGTAAGAGTTATGTAAAAATAGAAGAGATATTTGGTCTTTAGTTAAATTTAACAATTTTCTAAAAATACTTTTGGAAAATATTTTAATTAATATAAGCATACAAATACTTAATACTCTGGGGATCAGCCGCTTTGACAAGCATATAGCCTGAATTCTCGGGTGTCTTTGGAGCGACTGAAAAAGATTCAAAGCGACCAATATTATATCTGATATATTGATAACGGTTTCGTATTATTCAAGCATTTGATGTAAAAACAATTTCATAACATTTCGTTTATAGCATCCATTGCTTTTTTTTATTTAACAGCAGTTAAAGTTTTTATAGGATACTGCATGAACTATGAAAGACGCGAATTCGCGTCTTCGGTCCCCAGTGTTAAGAATTCTTTATACATTTTTCCACAAATAAGAAGATCTATCATACAAAATCGTAACTAAATTTTATAAAATGCATAATTCCGACTTGTGTAATTGTCTTTAATACTTGGTAAAAATTATATGTTAATATAACTATAGGTGGTCTAGTTTTAACGATACCAGCAAGATTATTGTGTGGAGGTATTGCTGGTGCTGTTGCTCAAAGTTTTTCTTATCCATTAGATGTTACTAGAAGACGGATGCAACTAGGTATGATGGATCATAATACTCACAAATGCAAGTAAGAGTCTACCACTGTTATAATGTGAATATAAAAGAGGATATTTAATTTTTTAATGGTTTATTACACAATATTTAATTATAATTCACTTTTAGTTCTAGCATGTCACAGACTATAAAAACGATATATGAAGAAAATGGTATTGCTAGAGGTCTGTATCGTGGAATGAGTATTAATTATCTACGAGCTATTCCTATGGTATCAGTTAGTTTTACAACATACGAGATCATGAAACAAATACTACATTTAGACACTGGACTAAAATTCTAATTTATCTAATCAGAACACGTATTTGTGATGTCTCAGTTCTTATATTTCTATTAGTGGTAAAACGCAATCAATATTAATATTTTTCTACAATTACTGGGACAAAAATATTGTTTGATTTTTACTTTGTAACATAGAGGTGATTCTTTCAATCTAATTTATTATCTGTATGTGATAAATTTATGCAAGTATGATATGCCACGAATATGTGAAATATATGGAAAATATTTGCGAAGTATACATACATAGAATAAATATTTAGGGTGGACCAACTAACGTGACCACCTGAAATATTTCACTTGTTATTAGTTAAAACATAAAAAATGTTCCAGCTACAAGTTAGATGGTTTCGAAGAGGACATAATTTGATATGATTAGCTTTTCGTAAGTGACCGCGTAGAAGACATATGAAGGTCACTTTTTTTTTTAACGAAATCATATATTTTTCTATTACATTAGCCAACTTAGCTAAACATTCTGTACAAAAAATTATTAATCTATAAAGCATTAATAAAGTATTAACCTATTTATACCGAAAAAATATTAGCTTAACAGATATTCTAACTGCAAGCTTGATTCAAATTAGCAATCGCAATAAGATCAGATCACGCCAGGTCAGGTCACCAATCAAGAGCATCTCATTTTATTTCACTGAACTGCCTGTCTATTGTAAATGCTCGTACTGAATTACGTGCTAGCGATTTTGACAGGCGCCTGATATGACATGATTGGATCGTACCGTGATCGCTAGTCTAAATCGTCCTTTAATTTTATCAAATTTAGATATAGAGGTTAAGGAAAAACACGATATTCTTGAGTTTATGTTACCTTCATCTTTCGTACGTTAAATTTGACAAATTAAAGTTATAATATTTCTTAAACCAATGGTTTTTCAGTACACATAAATCGGTTAATACTTTTTTGTAGAGAATGCCCATATGAATCAGCTAATGTTATAAAAAATATATCATTTCATTTAAAAAATATCAGTGACCTTCATATGTTCTTTATGTGTTCGCCTACGAAAAAGCTAATGTCAGATTATATTTTCTCGAAACCATTCAACTTGTACTTGAAACATTATCAAAAACAAGCAAGATTTCCAGATGATCACGTTAGGTGATTCGCCCTGTAGAAACACGCACACGCATATATATACGCAGTGGTTGTTTACGTACAATTGATATTAATCTTTGATATCACAGTGATAACTACTGCTGATACAAAATTGATACTAATTACCCTAATGCCGTGGTGATAATATCAAAGTGTCACCGTTTTCTGATACTATGACGATGATCAGTGGTTATAACAAGGATACATTATATGTGAAAAACTATTTTTTTGTTTATATGTAATTATTATTTTCATATTCGTTTTGCAAATGACTGTTTTGATTACATGAAAAAAAGATTGCATTATATTTCATATAATTAGTAATATTTTATATATACAATATTAATAAAAATTTTAATAACACTTTTTGTACAATGTTACCATGTTTAAAAATTGTAGACCAAAGAAGTATTAATTAAAGAATTATATAATAGTATATTTTTATTCATAGTAAATAGTAAATTTACCATAAACTCGCTGTACATAATAAATGGTTATTAATGTAAAGGATACATGTAATGATAATTAAAGAACAAAATGATAATTGTAATTTCGAATTTATAAATAAATTATCTTTTTTGAAACTACAACCTTCAATTTATACCTCTTAATTAATTCTTTCTTAATTATGAGTGAGGACAGAATAAATTATTTTAAAAATTATAAGAATTGTAATTTAAATTAATTAGTAATGTACAAAAAAAAACACAAGATGTTTCCAAATTTTGATGCTAAAACAATACAATATATTCAACAAATTAAGAAGATAAGAAAGTTCGTGTAAAATTTTAAATATTTCTTTGTTTGATAAATTAATTTTATATGAATAATAATTGATAACAATGACTATCATTGTTGACTAATTTATCAATTAATAATTCTACAGTGATGTGTTATTATACAATTTTATCCAATCAATTTTTATGTCATAACTTTTTAACATGCTTTATCAAAAATTATCTTAAAACAAGAAAAAATGTTTTTTGTTACACTGTTCAAATTAAGTAGATATGTATAAAGTGTAATTAAAATATCTGGAAGTCACTACAAATATTGTTTTCTTTCGATTAAATATCTTGATAAAACTTTCTTCAAAACAGGGCATGTAGTGTATTAAGAAAACAATTATGAATATAGATTTATGTATGAATCCTTTTTATTTATTGAATTTCCTGAATACACTGTACGAATTATATGCTAATTAATTTCAGAACGCTCTGTATAGCAATTTGTCATACTTTAAACTTAATGTCCCATTATCAGTAATACATTTGAATATTTTTAGTTAGTAAACTATGCATTTTAATAAATAATTTTGCTTATTGCTGGTTTAACTTGAAATATTTATTTTTCAATTGAGTGTCTTGTAATAAATGGTTTTTTGTACATGTACTTAAGATATTACTAGGTTTATGTAATTTATAAATATGACTTTAATCATAAAAATTTACCTATTTCTATAGAAATTTACTTTTAAAGTTTTTATATGTTAAAATACATGCGAATAATTATTTATGTATTAGTCTTATGACCAGTAATTAGTTTTGCTCATATCATGTCTTGCATTACAGTAGTTCAATGTGTAAAAATGATATAAGACTCTCTAAATATGATAACATTTCTTTATTTATCTAGCTTCTGTTTATAATGAGACGACATAATATCAGTTCAAGGCATACTGTTTACTTTGCTTCAGCAAGCCAGTTTAAAATTTGTAACTTAATTTGTTCAAAATACATAAAGTCTAAAACCAGGGACGCATGCCGAAAGATAAGAACCAAGTGCACACACATAACTCGCAATTGCTTGAAGTATTTTCTATGATTGATATAAAATGTTCCAAAAAATATTGTAAAAGATATTACTTCAAATTGATATATACAATGTAGTCTGTATGTGATATATAATAATTATATACAGCTATAAACTGATTATTTTGCCCTGAATTTATATACATAACAGATAAGTTTGAAGCGTTTTGTTTTAATTCGAATTTCTGCGTGTGCATCGGTGATCAATCAGCTTTTGATAAAAGCATACTCATTTTTAGCTTAGCTCTGTGATCACTTTGTAAAAATCTGCATGTAAGTACATAAAATATTGACATTCAAAATTAAAGTGAAACAGAAATAACCGGATTTATGACTTTTACACTTAAAAATAAGTGTTTTTATCACATTATCTAAAGTAAAATTTGACAAATAAAGAAATAATAATGTTGTGAAGTATTGAATCTTTAAGAATTAACAACATATAAGAGTTTATTTGATATTGAAATTTATGTCTTATATGAAATACTTTAAAAAGAAAATAAATAGAGCAAATACAAAATTAACTATACAAGCTCCAAAAACTATTATTGATTTTACTAAAAGACGTACTTTTAATTAACTCAATCTGCTTCATCTGCTGTTATATAATACCATAATTTTTTTTTCTATATATAGAAAATTTTACCTTTATTTCTTTTATAACCCAGAAAATATGTGTAATATATAATATATAAAACAAAAATGAAAAAATGCTTAGCCCTGCATTAATGCAGAAAAAGTTACTGTATCCACAATGTTATGGTTTCTGTGCTATTTTCTTTTACATTTACAGTCTTAGTAAATTGCTATAGTGTGCACCTATACATTTTTCGTTTTTTTTTCTCTTTATTGTTACTACTGTATCGTTTCATTATGCATATGTTCAAATTACATGTTTAATTCTATGAATTATGTATTCCGTGAATACATTCAATGCTCATGTATACAATGCCTGTGTATTGACGAGTATGAATGATTTGACAACACATTAAATTCATTAAACTTGCATTACACATGTTTATTTACCAGAAGCATTATTTTATATCTATTAATTAGTAAAAAAGTTGTCGGTAGGTTCATAAGCAATTAACTTTCAATTTAATGATTGTGAATGCATGAATTCATTCAGTATAAAGTGTGTGTTTCACTTAGGAAGTCTTGACAGGATTGATGCAAAAGTTTTCTTAATCCTTAAATTATAAAACATGAGATAACCGACGACATTTGTATTTAATATTAATATTTAAAAATTATATTTAGGCAAGCAGGTTTGAAAAATAAAAACAGCAATGAGCGTAACTAAAATAAAATAAATGCTATGGAATAAACATGACTGATGGACTTGCACTAAATTATTTTGTAAGATAATTATAAAAATAAGACTTATACAAATTATATTTTGATTTACTTAATAAAACAATGTCAATACTATAAGCAAAATTATTGACTGCGACGATTGTGATTAATTAATACGTATAATGCTATGTTACAATCATTAATAAAATTCACTAGAGAATTTATTCAATTGTTTATATGGCACGATTTGTATATGCCAAATTTACTGTTGCATCAACCCTTTGTATATTTCCTTCAAGTGGAACATTTCATGCTCCATTCACACTAGCAATTATGTGACACTCTCTTAAATATAAACTATTATTATTTTGGTACACTTTTTGAAACCTTAAACAACATTATTTCTATTCAGTACACGCAACAAATAATTTTGCTCGTATAAACAGTTTTTCAATAAATTAATATTTCTTCAAGGTTTCAAACAATACCATGCACAGTTTTTTATTCGCACTACTTATTATGTTCATTTCTTCTGTTTCGTTTCTTGATAATAAAAATACAAGCAATACAATGAAAGTTGTAGAACTCAATGTGATACGTGAATTTTAATTGGTACGTGTGTACATTATTGTTTGTTTTTTTTTCTATTTGTATACATTTAATGTTGTGTCTACATGAATGGTGTGGGACACGCGCAAAATACTCGGTTGTGTGCCATCTCTCAACAAGACACCACAAAGAGTCATGATATAATACTTGAGACTATAATGTAATGTGTAAGGATAGCTGCAACCTCACACTTTATTGATGTTCTATCATAAATTATGTTCAGTGGCATTGCTATGAAGCCTGAATCATTTCTGTACCCCTACCTTAATAGATAACTCAGGGGTTTTGATTGTTTACAAGAAATAATCTGGTGTCCGCCTAGTAACATGCGGCTCACCGCGCCTTGGAGCTGGATCAAATTGAAGGCTGTAGAGATAAAATACAAAATATTGTACGAAAATGAATAAAAAATAATTCATATCAATATTTTTGCTCACCAATTATTTCATTTAATATAAAATCATTATACTTAC